AACTGCGCCAGACCACACTGACTAGCCAAAACACTAGGGCTTGACAGGGTGGCCACCCTGCCCCACCAAGATAAAGGGTGTGGTGGCGTGAGGAGGAGCAAGAAGGCCCTTTGGGGAAGTGGCGGCAGATGGTGGGTTTTGGCGGCAGGTGTAGATCTGTGTGACTCAGGCTGCGCTACAGAGCTCTTAGCTTTCCCTTTGTTGCCTGACGGGCCTTGCTGGTTTGTCGTCTCTTTGATACACACTGCAGTTTCCATTGCACATCAGAGATGGTGGGGCAGATGGGAATGGTTCGCTGGAGGATTCTGGGCTGCTGACTGCAGCTCGGGAGGAGGAGGCCTGACTTCAAATGTTGGGTTTCTGCTAGTCCCTAGGGCACTCTTCTCTCTGCTTTAATAAGAGCTACCACCGGTTGCCAGCAATGGACAGCTGTGCTGTGTTTACTGTACAAATTTGAGGTGAAAGTATTTCCTTTTGGTCAAGTGGAAGGTGGTATCAAGCAAACTAAAAAAAATTCAAAATTTTTTTTTTTAAAGATTTTATTTATTTATTTGTGAGAGAGAGAATGAGAAAGAGCACATGAGAGGGGGGAGGGTCAGAGGGAGAAGCAGACTCCCTGCCGAGCAGGGAGCCCGATGCGGGACTCGATCCAGGGACTCCGGGATCATGACCTGAGCCGAAGGCAGTCGCTTAACCAACTGAGCCACCCAGGCGCCCTCAAATGTTTTATAGTTAGGGACCAACTTGTCTTATTGAACTGGAATAAAAATATTTCTGAGCAGGGGTGCCTGGCTGGCTCAGTCAGTAGAGCAACTCTTGATCTTGGGGTTGTGAGTCTGAGCCCCAGGTTGGGGGTAGAGTTTACTTAAAATATTTTCAAGTGAAATCACCTTATATTCCCCAGTGTCTTTCTGTATCTGTTACCAGATGGCAGATGGGACTTGGGGACCACAGGGAAGTCTTAATGGGTCCTAATGTGTTTTTACAAAATGGGTGGTGCTTTCAGGCCCCTGTAACTAAGCAAAGTCTAGGTGGACACAAGTGTGTTACAAATGGTGTTGTATTATGAGGTACCAGTGGGCTACGGCCAAGGGCAGATGATGACAGAGGTAACCCCCAGCACCACCCTGTAACCCAAGCCTCCATGGACTGGGATGACTGGTTTCTCGATGCACCTGAACCTGGGTTTCTCAACCTTGGCACTAATGACATTCGGTGCCAGGTAGTTCTTTGTTGGGGGGTGGGGGTGGGCTGTGCTGTGCACTGTAGGTGTTTAGCATCATCCCTGACTTCTATCTACTGGATGCCAGTAGCACTCCCCTACCCCTTGTGACAACCAAAGATGTCTCCAGACATTGCTAAATGTCATTTGGGTCAGAATCACCCTCTTTGGAAATCACTGGCCTAAATTTAAAGAATGTCTTGGCACAAACTTTAATGAGGACGTCATTTTGGCTATCACCGTCTGACATCATGACCCAGGTATTATCTTGTAGTTACTGCTTCCCTCTGCCAAATGCTTTTCCCAGTCATTATTGTGTGCCATTTTATAGACAAGATTTTTTTTAAGACAATATAATCATAATCAATAATAACCAACTTTATAGGGTATCAGTGAAGGGACTTCAGGAATACCTTAGCAAGACTATTAGCCTGATAGTGCTGGGATCCTGGAGTAGGGACAACTCTAGAGGCATATGGAAGACTAGAACACATAATGATTACTGTCAGTTGGGGGGAGGGGAGAGGAATAAAGGGTGAAGAGCATATATGAAGGAATACAATGAGAAGATGTTTGCCAATTGACTGAATAGTGTAGACATAACCTATTCTGGCACAAATATATGTTCAGGAAGTTCTGAATTTTATTAAGTAAACTCTACCCTCAGTGTGGGTCTAAACTCACGACCCTGAGATCAAGAGTCACATGTTTATAGACAAGTTTTTTTAAAAAATCTAAATTGTGTGTCTACAGAAGGAAGGAATGGAGTCAGACTGTACCTTTCTTGTTCAAACTTACACCGCAGCGTGGAAGAAGTACAGGGATTGGAACATTATGGGTGCTTTAGCGGATGTTTACTACTGGTAGCAACGTCTTCGGAAAGCACAGTTCTGAACTTTAAACTCAACGTATGTAAAGCGAGACAGCCGTGTTTATTCAGTACCTCCAAGTGCCCAACACTGAACCGGAATTTTTGAAATTAATGTTATTCCTCTCATAAATCATAGTGAACTAATAGACGCTAGAAGTGATTTTTGAGAATTAACATTTTCCCCCAATTTTAGGCATCAAAAAAGCTTGTTGATGTGTAGTTGTTTGAAGTACTCAATTATATGTGCTAATTTCAGCTTGCCTCTGAGAATGTAACAGCCCAGAAAATTTGCCAGTAAGATAACCCTGGAAAAAAGAAAATTTCCAACCTAAAGGATTGCTCCCGCAAATTTAAGAATGTCAGAAGTTTTTAGCATTTTATCTGTATGTATTCAGAAATAATTGCATTAGCATATTGCTTAAGAGATTTACCACACTACACAAATCAGTCTTAAAATATTTATTTTATAACCCCATATGAACCCAACTAAGCATAGCGCCAGGTACACAGTTGATTCACTCATAATTGAGTGGATATTGTTGAATTACCATCCTTAACATTTTCCTAAGGAGGCAGGAACTCCTGCTATGAGAACTTTATCAACCTTTCTTAAATAAACAGAATGAAAATGAATGATAGTGCACTAGATCTATTTTAAAATCCAGTCTCCCGGTTAACAATACTTATTTGGCTTTGTTTTCTAAATCCCCTATTTAAATGAGAATTCAGTAGAAAGGATTTGTTGAATACTGTGTTGATAAGCATTTGTTGAGTAGTGACTGTCGGTAATGCCTAAATCATACCACCCAAAGATATTAAAACCATTCTGAACATTTGAGGAAAGAATGTCAACATTCTTATATGATTTAATCTATACCTTCATCATGACTCCCTGTGTATATAGTCCAGAAGGCTGGACTAGGTCTGTGTTTCCTGCTTACCTGTTAGTAAGAATTACCTGGGGAGGCTGTTAACACATCTAATTCCTAGGGTTCTATCCTAGAGATTCTGATTCAGCATGTCTGGTACAAAGCCTGAGAATGTGTATTTTTAATACCCTCCTCCTTAGGAACAGAGAGATGTTAATGACCAGGCCGCTGGCGGGGGGGCTGTCTCTGGATTTGGTTTCTCTGGAAAATGCCATCACTGCCTCTTTATTCTACCCTTTCACTTGTTTTCTTAATCTTGGCCTTCTCTAGCTGATGATGCATATAGAATGCAAACTCTGAACACTGAAAATTGTGGATCTTAGTCTTCTGATTGCTACCACACCTTGTTTTGAATGCCTAAGTTCAAAATTTTTATTTTAGGTAATTATAGATTTACATGCAGTTGTAAGAAATAATGCAGAGAGATCCCATATGTCCATCACCCAGTTTGTTTCAATGGTACTATCTTGTAAAACTGTAGTTCAGTAGCACAACCAGTACATTGACATTGATACAGTCAAGATACAGAACATTCCCATCAATGCAAGCATCCCTCAGGCTGGGGTGGATGGCTGATGCACTACAGAAATTTATTTTTCACAGTTCCAGATGATGAGAGTCCGAGATCAGGGTGCCAGCATGGTTGCCTTCTGGGGAGGGTCCTCTTCCTGGTTCATAGCTGGTACCTTCTCAGAGTATCCTCGTGGTGGAAGGGGCAAGGGATCCTTCTGGGGCCTCCTTTATTTGGCAGTAATCCCATTCATGAGAGTTTCATTCCCATGACCTAAGAACTTCCCACAGGCCCTACTTCCCAATACCATCATCTTTGGCCGTTAGTATTCAACATGAATTTTGGGGGGACACAAACATTCAAAGCATAGCACCTCACTTTGCCTATCTATAGCCACACCTGCTTCCCTCCCCCACACACCCTCCTAATCCAGCCTTAACTCTTACAACCACTAATTTGTTCTCCATAGCTATCATTTTGTCATTTCATGAATGTCATATAAATGGAGTCATATAGTTTATAATCTTTTGGGATTGGCTTTTTCACTCAGCATAACTGTGGAGATTCATCCAAGTTGTTGTGTGAACCAGTAGTTTATTCCTTTTTGTTTCTGAGTGTTGTTCCATGATATGGATGTAGCAAAGTTTAACCATTCACCTGTTTATGGACATCTGGCTTGTTCCTAATTTTAGACTGTTACTAATAAAGTTGCTCTGAGTTCGTGTACAAGTTTTGTGTGAACATAAATGCTCATTTCTCTGGGATAATGCCCAGGAGTACAATTGCTGGGTCGTATGATAGCTGCATGTTTAATCTTTTAAGAAACTGTTAAGCTGTATTCCAGAGTGACTGTACCATTTTACATTCCCTCTGGCAATATATGTGTGATCTAGTTTCTCTGTATCCTAGCCAGCATTTGGTATTATTTTTTGTTTATTTGTTTTAGTCATTGTGGTAGGTGTATAGTACTATCTCATTGTGGTCTTCTTATGCATTTGCTTGATGACTAGGAATGTTGAACATCTTTTTATGTGCTTATTGCCATCTATATATCCTCTTGAAAAGAATGTGTATTCTGCTGTTGTTAGATGGAGTGTCCAAAAATGCTCATTAAATTTGTCGGTTGATGTATTATTGAGTTCTTCTGTGTCCTTCCTGTTTTTCTTATTGTTCTATCAATTGCTGAGAGAAGGGTGTGGAAGTCTCCCAACTGTAACCATGGGTTTGCCCATTTCTTCTTTCAGTTCCATCAGTTTTTGCCTCTCATATTTTACAGCTCTGGTGTTTGGTATATACACATTTAAGATTGCTTTGTCTTGCTGGTAGATTACTGTTTTATCTCGATGTAATAGCCTCTGTCTCTAGTACTTTTCTTTGCTCTGAAGTCTACTTTATCTGATATTTTCACTTAGTTTTGATTCTCTGATTTGGGTGTCTTATAACTGAGGCTCTCCCCCTCTTTTTTAGGAGTACATCATTCGGGTGCAAAGAGGAATTTCTGTAGAAAACAGTTGGCAGGTAAGCATTTTTTTTTTTTGTCCCTAGAAAAATGTTTAACCAAAACATGCATATATATGAATCCTGTTTCTTTTAGAGATAAACCTTCAGCTTTAGGATATTTATTTCCAGGGGCGCCTGGGTGGCTCAGTCATTAGGCGTCTGCCTTCAGCTCAGGTCATGATCCCAGGGTCTTGGGATCAAGCCCCACATCGGGCTCCCTGCTTGGCAGGAAGCCTGCTTCTCCCTCTCCCACTCCCCCTGCTTGTGTTCCCTCTCTCGCTGTGTCTCTCTCTGTCAAATAAATAAATAAAATCTTTAAAAAAAAATTAAGAAAAAAAAAAGATATTTATTTCCAAAGGCTTTTCTGTTCCCATTTGTTTGGTTTAATTTGTGTATGATGTTACCACAGAGAGTATCTAGGAATTTGTTCTCTAGTTTGACCCAGAGTAGGATAGATAGATAGTAGGCAGATTACTTGTTTTGTTCTTAGCACACCTCTTCCCCTGAAGCCATGGTGTAGGTGGGGCCGGTTAGAGTTAAGTCCATGGGGTGGAAAGGCTAGACAGGACCCTGGACATTGTACAGCTCGGACCCTGTGTATTTCATGGACTCCCAGTCCACTCACGGGCAAAACGCTACTGCCAGGTCCCCTGCTGACTGTAGGTGAGGGTCACCTTATGACCCTAGGGTCTGCAGTCCTCGGAGAGAAAAAATTTCCTACTTGGATCCAGAAGTCCTTCCTCTGTCAGTTGACTTTGCAGAGGGTGGCTGACTTCTCTCTAGGGACCATTTCTTTTTCTTTCTTTCTTCTTTCTCTCTCTCTTTCTTTCCTTTTCTTTCTTTCAAGATTTTATTTATTTATTTGACAGAGAGACACAGCGAGAGAGGGAACACAAGCAGGGGAGTGCGAGAGGGAGAAAGCAGGCTTCCCGCTGAGCAGGGAGCCCGATGTGGGGCTCGATCCCAGGACCCTGGTATCATGACCTGAGCCGAAGGCAGACACTTAACGACTGAGCCACCCACGCGCCCAGGGCCCTTTCTTTCTTGCTTTCATAATTATAATTACCCTCCCCGTCTCCACTACAAAACATCTTACCTTGTCCTTCAGGCCTGAATCTTACCTCTCACCCTAAGCAGTCTTGGACCACAGTGGTCCACACTTGGTCTTTTCTTTGCCCAAAATTTCAAACTGCTTTTTGTGTGAATGGTTATACCATTTAACATCTGTTGAGCATTTGTTGTCAGGCACTGGTTCAAGCACATTAATTCACTTAACCCTTTAAAAACAGTTCTGCATGATTGCAGCTCCCCGTTTTACGTTCAAGGGGTTAGTAACGAGGCCATGGTCACACTCAAATCAGTGACAGAACAGGACAGAATCTGTGTATTCTCTGTGATTAGCCGCAGTGCTGCCTTTTGCTCCTTTGCACTTACGAGGGATGGCCTTCCGTTTAACTCTTGCATGTGTAGTTGACAAGCAGGGCAATTGCATTGTCCTACCAGAGAAATCAATCCTTGGTATAGTTTTCCAGATACAGTGCATTAGAATTCCCGGGATACTTCACAAAAAAGTAGACCCTTGGGCCCCACTGTGCGCCTATTGTAGGAGATCCTCTGAGGGCAGAGTCCTAGAAGATTGGTAGATAGTTCTGCTCACTAACATTTGAGAGTCATCAATAAAGGTTCAAGTCAGCCATTCCAAATCAAAGTAATTTCCTTGCCCAGAGTCTGAAGAGCTAGTGGAATTTGACTCTGGCCTAATCAGTGGCATCAACATACCTAAGAAAGGATGTATAGACAATGGGAAGTGGACTGTCTGCCAAGAGGGGAAACATGGGGTATCCGGGAGAGGTGTGGCCTCTCTGCCTGCAGGTACAGTCCTGTCTCTAGAATGGTGGGCTCTCAACTGGGGGAAATTTTATCCAGGGCAAGGATGAAAGGGCCTCAAAGCGCTTTGTCCGCTTCCTTTTACTTTGATTTCATGTTCGGTAAAACTTTTTTTTTTTTTTTTGAGGGAGTAAATCATTAATTCATCTTTCCAGGTGCCTGGTTAATGAGAAAGATATTTAAAGGGCTATTCACCCTAAAAGCAAATACATCATCATTCTCTCTTACCTATTGGCATCTTGTGTGTTTGACTGGTGTTAACCAGTTTCCCATGGCCCAGCCAACTCTGGGCACTGCTAGGTCTGTTTTCTGGGCCTGTCCAGTTAAGCAAGTTAAGCACCAGATATAAGCCCTACTTCCCTTAGTTCAAGTGCCTCGGCCCTAGAATGCCAATAAATATTAAATAAGGAAATGAAAAGAGATGGTCTTTGCCGAATGAAAACACCACTGTCTTGTCTTACAGATCGTTAGGAGATACAGTGACTTTGATTTGCTGAACAACAGCTTGCAGGTAAATATTCGAAAACACTAATGACACATGGTCATTGCTTGGGGTGTCCTAGAAACTGGTTGGAAATGGCAATATCAGGAACAAAAATTAGCAAATTTTCCTGGTGGAGGAGATAGACTTATATGTTATACAGATCATGTGTGGCTCTAAAAATAAACTTTTGGGAACAAACATGTGATTTATAGTCACCTGGCAAGTGAGTACCTGTGTGCGAGACTGCATCCTAACCACAGTCCTTTGCACAGATGAGGAATGACTAGCTGGATTGCTGGAGTCGTTCACTTAGAGCTGGGACTCAGACCCTCGCCACTGAGCTAGACTGCATAGTCAGCATTGCAGATCAATACTCAGCAGTAACTAGCGACAGCTTTTCTCAGTATAACTTTTTTCTCTTAAACACCTATTTCTAAATCCCTTTGACTTAAATGTTCCTAACTTGGTGGCCATAATGGAAAGAGGGATGAGCTGCAGAGTCTTTTTCTGGAAAGAGCTGTGCTGGTCATGATGGAAGGGTCCTAGAGGGGCTTTCACACCATAGTAAGTACTGGTAGTACTACCCATGTACCCATTTAGCAGATTGGTTACTGCAGACCACTGGGCTTGGCTCACATCTCAGACTTGAATGGTAACATAAACCCTGAGCCGGAGTGCTTGGCTTATGACCAGTCCAGCCGGGAGGTGAAGCACTGCGCCCTGTTCATTGGTGAGCTAGCCATCACTTATTACCTATTCTGAGTGACCTCTGGTCCTGTCCACAAAGGTCAGGAGGACTGCTGGCGGAGAGCGAGCAACATGCTTCCTTTCCTTCAGAAGACCACAGTTACTGATCAGGCTTTGGAAAACAGCATAGTAGAGAGTCCAAACTGTAACATTATTTACAACCCAGCTGAAAACATGAATGCCTAACTTGCTCTCTGATAGAATTGGCCTGAGTGTCTGCAGACCTTTATGTAACTGACAGATGGTCGTGCATTTGACAAATGTTGTCTTTTTAAATTTTAATTGCAGTATGACTGATTTAAATCTGCAGATAAAATATTGGCAGAGATCAAATTCTCCTCATTGATGAGTTTAATTGGTTTCATGTATGGATTTTTATAGCATATTCTTTCCGCTTAGACAAAAGCTGGGTCTGTGATGACATTGTGGATAAGGCACTGATGTATAGTTTATTCTAGCAGTGGATTTTCTCCACAAGTCTCTCCCGACATTCCCAGGCAGCATTTCCACAATGGCGTGAGCATCTGGGAGTTAACACTGAGCCTACTATGTGTTTTCACGTTGATGCACAAGTGAACCTTTGCCCAGTGGTCTTCGTACAGTGTCATTCAGCCAGGACTGAGTAAGACTCATGGGAGGAAGGTTTCTGAAATTGAAATTGTCTAGGCCCAGCTCCCAAGAATGGGTGGGGGACAGTGGAGAGGGTTTTATCTCCTGTTTGTTCTTGCTTAGGGCATGTAAGTTTGAATCTCTATGACTATTCAATTATGGCCTTTTTAATATAATAGAATTTTATTTTTGCTTCAGTGTAATTTTCCCTTTTAAAATAGGCACTTTCAGTGTGCATTTTATTTCAAATGCAAATATCCATGTGTATTGATGTTGGCTTATGCTGGGCAGGATATGGCCAGACATCATTTCAGTGGGAGGTTTTTCTAGATCCAAGTAAACAAACAGAAGAAAGTACATACAGCTTTTTGGCAAGAAAATAATTTCAAAACAACCTCCATAAAAAAGACCAAAAAGACTCTAAAAACCACAGAATAAAACTGTGACCATGATTTTTAGTGTCTGATTACCCTTTCTGATGGTTAGATGAGTTCCCGCTGAAGAAAGAGAAACATAATACATAGGCAGAGTTGTCTGACTCCAATAGGAAAGAGGCCAAACTGAAAAAAAAAAAAAAAGCAGGATGTAAAATTATACATGCAATATAATATAATTACATGAAATGTTTAGAAAAAAAGATTGGAGGGAAATATGCCAAGCTGTTAACAATGGTGATCCCCAGGTGGCAGGATCATGGGTTTTATGTTTTTTTTTTTCTGGCTCTTTACACTGTTTTGTACTTTCCAAGTTCTCTATAAACAAGCAGAGATAAGCTAAATAAGCAAAGAAATAGAAAAAGAAAGGTGCCTTTTCATAACTTTCTATAATGAGCATATTTTGTGGTAAAGAAGAGTCACTACCTTATTTTAAAGATTTACTTATTTTAGAGAGAGGGTGCATGTGAGTGGGGGGGTAGAGAGAGGGGGACAAGCAGACTCCCTACTGAGCGGGGAGCCCCCAGGCAGGGCTTGATCCCACGACCCTGAGATCATGATCTGAGCAGAAACTAAGAATCAGCTCCCCAACCGACTGAGCCACCCAGGTGTCCCGAATCATTACCTTATTTTAAAGGCAACATCAAATCAGTAACCATCTAGGGAGACCACATACAACAAAACAAAAGAAAGGCGTAGGAGCTGAAATGGTGGGGACTGAGTCAGGAACGCTCAGGTTGGGAAGGAGCCCAGACTCTGCCCCTTACAGCAGGGAGACCTTGGGTCATTTCTTTTCCCTCTCCATCCCCCCCTTTCCCCATCTGAAACAAGGGGTTGAACTAGGTGACTTCTCAGGTCTGTTGTAGCACGGATGCTTTGTGATTTGAATTTTATTGCTCACTGTTGACATAGGAGAGACTCTACTGTTACGTAGAGATTGGCACAAATTAAGGGTCTTTTGAGAGCTCAGAACTCCCTAGAATACTCACTGGAATATGGTTGAAGACCACTGAGCTCTGATCATGAAAATGAAAGATGAACAGATTCAGAGTTTGTTGGTTCCTCCTCCAGATAGAACTAGTTTTCCTGAAACTGCGATATAGTTTGTCATGTAATTTAATTTAGAGGCCTCTACTAGCGGCTCAGATTATGGGCTCTAGACCTCACTTTGGAGATTATTCCCCCTTCGCCTTATCATTCTGCAGGTGTTATGGATGGGTCTTTGGGGACTTCTCCACTGGCTTTCTTGTTCTCTTCCTCATATATAAGGAACTCAAGAAGGGAATCCGTAGGGCATGTTAAAGAGGAAAGCTCTCGAAAATGGGATGGTGAGGTGCCATGGCTTGAAGCCATCAATGTGTAGGTGTCTAGGAAATCACTGCGGAGAGACTTGATTGCTCTCTGTGCTAATATTCTCTTTCCCTCCCTCCTAATGAGCCATTGGACTTCTAAATTTTATATTCTATAATTGGCAAACATTTTAGAAATTCTGGGAGAAAGCTAAAAGAGAAAGTGTCTCTTGAATGCTAATCTTTTTTAAAAGGCAAGATTTTAAAATAACACACATATTACATACTAGTAATACTTGTAGAAGTATTTATTGTGAGATCTTAAGGCAGAGCAGGAAACAACCTCCAGTCTGTCTAGTGGACTGGCCTAGCAAAGAATCTGTAATTGCAGCTGTTGGCAAAGAACACTTTGTTTTACCTGATGATTTGGAAGAGCTGATGGGATGTCTGGCAGATCAATACATTTTCCTAAAGTGAAACGAAGCTTGCACAAATAGATTGGTGGAAGCTTGGAGGCCACAGAGTTCAAAACAAATACCTTATCAAACTCATTTTCATATCCTCACCATGAATGAAAAATAGCTCTGTTGGGGTTTGAATCTGATGATGTAGATGTGACTCCATTCTGAGTCATGTAGGATTCATCTGGGTCAGCTGTCAGGCAGGTAGTGCAGGCAAATGGGCTGATATTGGTACATGGTAATTTTACATATATATATATTTTTAATATTTATTTTATTTATTTTAGAGAGAGAGACCGCATGGGGAGCAGGGACAAAGAGAGAGGGAAAGAGAATCTCAAGCAGACTCTGCACTGAGCACAGAGTCTGATGCAGAGCTCGATCACAGGACCCTGAGATCACGACCTGAGTCAATACCAAGAGTTGGACACTTTTTTTTAAAGATTTTATTTATTTATTTGAGAGAGATCGAGCACAAGGGGAGGGGAAGGGAAAGAGGCAGAGGAAGAGGGACAGGCAGACTCCCTGCTGAGCAGGGGGCCCGATTCAGCCTGATTCAGTTGACGGTTAACTGACTGAGCCATCTAGGCACTCCAAAAAAATAATTTTTTAAAAGAAATATCAGTTGTGGGGGCGCCTGGGTGGCTCAGTCGTTAGGCGTCTGCCTTTGGCTCAGGTCATGATCCCAGAGTCCTGGGATCGAGCCCCGCATCGGACTCCCTGCTCAGCGGGGAGTCTGCTTCTCCCTCTCCCACTCCCCCTGCTTGTGCTCCCTCTCTAGCTGTCTCTCTCTCTCTCTGTCAAATACATAAATAAAATATTTAAAAAAAAAGAAATATCAGTTGTGTTTTAAGTAGTACCTTTGATTACTCTATATTAATGCTCTGGAACAAAAATAATAATAATAATAGTAATAATAATACAGTGATTCACTTGGATGTGTATTAGCTGAATGATGTGCTTTCTTCTTAAGTATGCTTTTTATTTAGTTAATAAAGAAACTGCTATTAGTTAAAGCCTAATTGTGTAAATGAGGAAAATGACCTGAAATTTATGTGTCTTATCTAGCTGTGAATTCTGCCATGATAGAAAATTCATTCTAAGTATGCTCCCACACATTTTCATAATTATGTTGGAGAAATAGGCAATTTAGGATTGTAAGCCAACCTTTTCATCTTGTCCAATGTTGAGTTTAAGGTCTTCACTGTTGTTTGAAAAATACAGAGTGGAACAGGCTAAGTTAGGTTTTCTCACATGGGTGATTTAAATTACATCCTTTCCTGAATTAAAGATGCCCTTCTCTTAAGACCTTCCCCTCAATCAATATGCATGTCACTTGGTCTGTTCTAATCTAAGCACAAGTGTGGAATACAACTGCTCTTTGAAAGTGATTTTGCTCATTAAATTAAGATACCAATCTGATGCTTTTTTTAAAAGATTTTATTTGTCAGAGAGAGAGGGAGCGCATACAAGCAGGGAGAACAGCAGGTAGAGGGAGAAGCAGGTTCCCCCCTGAGCAAGGAGCCCGATGCGGGACTCGATCCCAGGACCCTGGGATCATGACCTGAGCCGAAGGCAGACGCTTAACGACTGAGCCACCCAGGCGTCCCTGATGCTTTGTTTTCTAAGTTTAAAAAATAGACTCACAAAGTTTTAAGTGATCTGGAAAATGATAGGTTGAGCACCTGCATTTACTTTTCCTTTCTCCTGAAACCACTCTAAAACAACAGTAAGTTGATCTTATACACACACACACACACACCCTCAAGGGTAAGTAGAATAGGAAAAGATAAAATCACAACAAAATATTTGAAGCTGCAAATCCATTGGATGAGAGTTAACCAATTAAGGAGATACAGGAAGGCAGAATTCTGAGCTGGGATGGGGGTGGATAACTCCACTGGGTCCCATTTGATACCACAGAACCTCCAAAAGGTTTAGCGCAAGGTGCTGCCTCCAGTGTGGGGCAAGGTCGAGCTGAAATCAGGAGTTGAGAGTATGTTTAAGAAACAGTCAGATCCCCGGATCTTCCCCCATCTAGCAAGTTATGCCTGCCCTTCTCCCTCTAGCAGAGAATTGGAAGTTTATTCTCTGGAGAGGGAAGAATAGTCTTTGGATTGGGGAACACAGGAATCACGTAATTCCTGTGAGCACTGCCTCTCACCCCGACCTTTGCCCCCTTCTGCAAACCTTCTTCCTTTCAGCTCCCAGAGTATTGGTAGTCAGACCTAGACCCTCCAGGCAGGGGATTGGAAGATTTGGGGATAGGGGAATCTGCCCAGCCTAAGAAGAAAGAGCTAAAGATACTGAGATCACAGGTTTTCCCAATGAAATAGCTGAGTCAAATCCTGTGCTAAAATAAAACCCACAACAGATAAGCCTCCGCCACTCACCAAGTGCTTCTAAGTCAGCTTTTGTGGTCCTGCTCTTTAGTATGAGCAGACAGTCCAGGATCACCAGATTCCTAAGGAACACTTTTTTTTTTGTTTTTAAGATTTATTTATTTATTATTTGAGAGAGAGAGAGCAAGCACGAGTAGGCAGAGGGAGAGGGAGAGAGACAGGCAGACTCCCCGCTGAGCAGGGAACCCAACTCGGGACTGGATCCCAGGACCCTGAGATTGTGACCTGAGCCAAAGGCAGACGCTTAACGAACTGAGCCACTCAGGCACCTCCCCTTCCCAAGGAACACTTTTAACATAAAAGATAACAATGAAAACAAACAGAAAAAAAAAATAAAAAGAACCTTCAGGAAGCAGAATATATGCAGTAAGAGGAACATTTCAGGCTCTTCAGAAAGATTATCTTTTATGATCTCAGAGAGATAAATTGCGTTACATTCAGGATGCTATTAAAGAAAAGAAAGCATACTCAGAAATAAAAAAATAGATAATAATAGAAATGAGAACTCTTTAGAAGAGCTGAATGATAAAGGAACTATCCCAGAAAATTTTTTCAGTAGGAAAAAATATTGTTTAACAAAGGTGGAAAGTAGGAGAGAAAAGATGAGAATAGAGGACCAGTCCAGAAGGCCCAACACTGGAATAAGAGGAAAGAGAGCAAAGGGCACAGAGGGGAAGAAATAATGACCTAATACAAGAAAATACCAAAGAATGTAAGGATGTTCATCTCCAGATAGAAATGGCTGGGTACTCAGCACAGAGGGTAAAGATAGACCTGCAGAGAGGCACATGGATTTCACAAACTGGGGTCAAGGAGAAGACCCTAGAAGCTTCCAGGGAGGGAAACAAAACAAAACAAAAACGGAAGCAAAAATCTGCTAACAGCAGCGCCGGAAGCTAGAAGACAATAAAGTCGTTCTTAAAAATTGTGAAGAACAAATATTTCCAACTTAGAATTCCCCATCAAGGGGCGCCTGGGTGGCTCAGTCGTTAAGCGTCTGCCTTCGGCTCAGTTCATGATCCTGGGGTCCTGGGATGGAGCCCCACATCGGGCTCCCTGCTCTGCAGGAAGCCTGCTTCTCCCACTCCCCCTGCTTGTGTTCCCTCTCTCGCTGTGTCTCTCTCTGTCAAATAAATGAATAAAATCTTAAAAAAAAAAAAAAATTCCACATCAGGATTCTCTATCACTCAAGTGTGAGGATAGATTAAAGACATTTACACATGAAACTTTTCAAAAATTTGACGTCCCTCCCTAGCTCCCTTTTTAGGAAGCTGACGGAGGGTATCCCCACCAAAAATCAGGGATTCTTCTACAAAAAAGGAAGGTATGGATCTAGAAATGGGGTTCAGCAGGAGAAAGGAAAAAGCATCCCTAGCGTGATGTCCCAGAATGCCAGCCCAGCAAGTGTAGGGACCACCAGTGCTGCTTGGAACAGGCACTCCTCAAGGGACGAAATTGATGCATCTTTGTATCTGAATATGTTGAGAAAATGCTTAGATGGAAAGTTTGGAGTTGAATAGAAAACTAAAACAAACAAACCAAAAAGACCAGTTGATAAAAAAGGAATTGTAAGCATGGCTCTCTGGCTTAATGGTGCAGATCACCTAATGTAAACAGGAATATTGCACTAGATAAAATTATAGCTATATTGGAGGGATTAGGAATAAGTTGCATGTGGGGTGAGATCGGGATTGTGAAAGAGAACTTAATCCATAACGGGAAATTAATAGATTAATGCTTAAAAATGAAAATCAATTCATAATGAACCCTGTGCCAAAAAGACCGACTGAGAGAATTCGATGTGGCTGCCTCTGGGGAGTGGATAATGGCTAGGTCACCTTTTGGCAGAGGTGGTTGGGGGGGGAGTGTCACGGGACTGCTAATAATAAAAAGACTATTTGACTCTCGAAATTATGTTCATATATAAGTTTGATAGAAAAACTTTTTTTAAAAAATTAAGTTTTAAAGTTGCTATGCTTGATATAGCATTTTACCAATTCTGAGTTGCAGTTTTTCACGTTTTTATCATAGCACTGAAATCAGGGTGCATCTTAATGAAATGTGGTGGCTCAGGATTCTGATATTACATCTTATGTGGAGATGACAGGAGTATAATACTTTTTCTCTTTTAATTAAAGATTGCAGGCCTCAGTCTACCTCTTCCTCCCAAAAAATTGATTGGTAACATGGATCGTGAATTCATAGCTGAGAGGCAGAAAGGTCTTCAGAACTATCTCAACGTTATCACCACAAATCATATCTTGTCTAATTGTGAGCTGGTTAAGAAGTTTTTAGACCCAAACAACTATTCTGCAAACTACACTGGTAAGCAAAGGGATCTGTGAGCTACGGTTGCATGACCATAGAGACACTGTTCTTTGCTGGAGACAACATGTAGGAGGAGTTATTTCCAGACGGGGCCATGTGTACATTTGTTATAGGGCATTACTTGCTTATTAGTACTATACCCGATTGTAATTTACTGTAAGTATAAGAAAAAAATAATTACTTCTAAAATGTGATGTTTGCACAGAAGAATATGAAAGAGAAGTTATTGGGTCTTGTACTTAGAGTCTTGTCTTTATTATCTTCCCTGACAGAAAAGAAAGTATATAATCCACAATAATCTGTACCATAATCTCAATTTGATTTTTATTTGGATCTCTTTTTGTATTTACAACATATAGTATGTCTGGTTTTTCGGGGAGTTACTTTATACTGAGAGTGGTTCAAAAGGGTCCTTTCTGTGTCTTCCCAGTTGCTCCCAGAGACCCACTCAAGGCAAAGCCTGAGGAGGAGCTAGTTGTCTTCGACGCCTTCCCTGGATCAGTCAGGGGACTGAGGTGGAAGGGGTGCCAGTTACACACAAAGCTATCGTCAGTAACCTAAGCCTCTTGTCTGCAGAATGAGTGATTAACTATTCAGTATTCCCTGGGTGGCTTTGAGGAGACCAATGGAAACCATTGTAGAACTGAACCAGTGACTAGAATTCGACTGATTTGTTAAAGCTGAGCTGTGCTTAGAGTCTTAGTGGAACTCTGGGTATTTTTAATAAGCTGATTTCCTTGCTAAGAGAATAGATTGTGTACACATTACATTTCAGGTCCTCAAAACACTGCTTTTGAAGTAATTAGAGGGAGGCACCTTTATTCCTGTTTCAGAGAGAGGGAAATACAGGACTTCTTGTCAGGTACCAAATTTTTCTGCATAATAGACTCACCCAGGGAGCTTTAAAAAATCCTGATGCCCAGGTACTCATGCCAATTAAATGAAAATCTCTACGGGGGCGGGGGGGCTCCTAGTTTATAAAGCTCCCCAAGAGATTCCAGTACGTAGCCAGAGTTTGAAAACCACAGCCCTTGGATCTTGCTCCTCACATCACAGTGTGGTCCTCTGACCCACAGCATTGGCATCACTGGGAGCTTGTCAAAAATGCTGAATTCAGGCCCCATCCCGAACCCATGGATCAGGATCTGAGTTTAATAAAGTCCCCAGGTGATTTGCATGTGCATTACAGTCTGAGAAGCCTTGCAATGGAACGTACCTCCTATCTTCTAGTGGAAGTACCTGCAGAGGTAAGAAAAATGCCTTTCTAGAATGCAACCAAGTGAAGGAAAGTTTAGTTCAAACACATTTACTCTAAGTGACGAAATCGAGTGTAAGTTATTACAAGGCTTTCATTCTTCCCCAGTTGGTTTTTCGTTCATCTAGGAGAAAAGGCATCACAGGACAGGGGCTCCCAGGACAGCTTAACTTCTTCCAGAGTAACATCTCTCATGGCTTTCAGTCACCGTGCTTCACCTACATTGTTCCCTGCATTGTCAGACGGTGAGCCGTCTATAGTGACTGGTATCAAATCAGCCCTAACCTAGTTCATTGGTTTGTCTCCGTATTTCCCGAGAGTGTGTGCGAATGTGTTCCCGAGGGCAAGCCTCAAGGTGCAGTGCACACAGGATGACGCTGTTCGTTCCGTAGACCTTCACTGTCAGTTGTGCCTATGCTGTGTGCTGGGTGCAGGCCTGGTGGGGGGTGCAGGGGCAAGGAAGGTGTGCTCCCTGCTCGCGGGGAGCTCGTACCGGGAGTACAGCGAGTTGTGTGGGCTCAGAGCTAGAAGAGATTTGGAGCAGGCATGCCCAGACCAGCCCTCTCATTTTATAGATGAGACATCGCCTGAGAGGAAAGACCTTACCTAGGGCTGCACGTTTGTTAGACTGCACAAGGGTATAACATCTGCGTGTTTTCCAGTTAAAATGCTGCTTTGCGCCTGAAAGATTATCTGATCCCTATATTTCCTTCTACTGTACCCCCTCACACGCTGCTATTGTTCTTGATCTTTCTCCTCTCCCTCCTCCCCCTCCGCATGGCAGAGAGTCAGGAGTCCAAAGTAATGTGGGCAGAGATCTAAGAAGGCTGCCGAGACTCCCACCGGGACCCAAATGCTCATGAAGCCACTGCTATTTAGACAACACAGTCCTGTAATGAAACAATAGGGGATGGATGCTGTTTTCAGAGAGATGCTGATTTATTGCCCCCTTTGAATGAAACGTCAGAACTTGTCTTGCCTCTAGGCTGACTCACTAGCAGCCTCAGGAAAGGGAAGCCCAGGCAGTCTCCTCTGCACCAGCTTGACTGAGCCAATCCCCGGAAAACCGGGTAACCGGACAAACTTGTCCTGCTTCCCGAAACTCAAAGCATGGCCTCTGGTTCCCGAGGGCACTCTGCATACTGCCGACCTGTGGCTCTTCTTTAAGGAGGGTCACTTCCCCCCTTCATGTGGATAAGGTCTGCACCTCTTATCCGCTTCCAAATGGTCTGTGGTCACCACCTCGCTCCACTTTAGCAGGATCTGAGTTCCGTGCTCATGTGGCCGAAGTCACCAAGGCTACTCTTCCTGTCTCTTGCTCTGAGGTTAAAGATGCCTAGTCGGAGGGGGACTGTGATGCCAGCCCGGTCCCCAGGGGGTGGGTAACTAGGAGCAGGGCATCAGCGGCTGCCTTCTCTCTCCCTGGCTCTCCAGCCTGGGATTTCTGATCTTTTCTTTCTTTTCTGGGTGCTCCAGATGACCAAGGAAATAGAGGTCCTTGGTGCTCTGTGGAGGAGTTATGAGGAGTCCATTTGTATTACCAAGTCTAATTGAGGGCCAGCTTTTGTTACAGGGAGAGCAGGTGTCTCCAGTCATGAGGGGCTTATATGGGAAGACACACATGCACACATACCCCACTCCACACACACCTCACCTTGTTCATCTTAGTAACGAGGTGCTGCTGTCATTCAAAAGCCTCAGTGCACTGTAGCTATCTTCCAACCCCAAACTCCCTCAGAATAAGGGGATTTTTTTTTTTAAGATTTTATTTATTTATTTGACAGAGACACAGTGAGAGAGGGAACATAAGCAGGGGGAGCGAGAGAGGGAGAAGCAGGCTTCCTGTGGAGCAGGGAGCCCGATGCGGGGCTCGATCCCAGGACCCTGGGATCATGACCCGAGCCAAAGGCAGACACTTAACAACTGAGCCACCCAGGCGCCCCAGAATAAGGGGATTTTTAATGTCCATGCAGAAGTCACTTGGACCAGAAATATCGAGGCATGGATCCTGGGTCCCAGCTTTGTCATCAGCAACATTTCCCCTCTGTGAGCCTCAGGTCCTCTTCTAGTCCTGAAACCCCAGGAATCCTACGAGTAGGTCAGGTAGTAGTGGGCTCAAGGAAGAAGGAGGGAGGGAGGGTTGGGGGCGGGGGATTATATTCAGAACCAGGGCAGGGCGCTTTGGAGAGGTGGTAGGCCCAAGTCCACTGTGCAGGCCTCGGTGGCGCCACCTGCTGTAGCAGATTGGGGATCTGGAACCCGGTTTCCGGGCTGGAGGAGTCTGTTCTCTGTAATGATCGTGGGGCTGGGACCTAGGAGCTCAAAGGCTGCACACAGTGGGGGCAGCTGGTACATTCTGAGCTGAGAAGTCAGAGCTCTGTGGGAAGCACAGGATGGGCCTGAAGGCCTCGCTCTGCATTTCCTGTCTGGGGCTTGTTTCTCAGCATTTCCTGAGCATGCAGTTTTTCCCCATGTGTCTGTCAGTATTAAGGAAATAGAGGGCAGATGCCTTTCTTTTCATGGATTTCATGTTCTTTTTTTAAGATTTTATTTATTTATTTGACAGAGAGAGGGAACACAAGCAGGGGGAGTGGGGGAGGGAGAAGCAGTCTTCCTGCCAAGCAGGGAGCCCTATGTGGGACTCTGGGACCATGACCTGAGCCAAAGGCAGACACTTAATGACTGAGCCACCCAGGCGCCCTGGATTTCATGTTCTGATGGGAGAGAGTGTCCGCATCCATTGAACATGTATTGAACCCTTAGTTCTTGCTTTGTCAATATTTATTGAGTGCTTACTCTGTGTCAGGTGCTGCAAATACAGCATTAAGGAAAGCATAGTCCCCTACCCCCATCCCAAGACACTTCTGCAGGGGGATTGACAGGTGAAGACTATGGCAGAGTAGACATGGCCCAGCACCTTGAAGGTGGGAGTAGGGGTGCAGGTGATCCAGTTTTGAAGGTGGAGGAAGGCTTCCAGAAGAGTTGATGCCTACGTGGAGATTTAAGGATAAGTAGAAGTTAGCCAGGCCAAGAGGCAGGGCCAGTGCTCCAGGAGAGAAAAAAATATTTCCATGTGGCTGTGGGCTTTTACCCAGATTAAGACGTAGCCTTCACAGCCAGAGTTCACAGTCTAGTGGAAGAGAGTAGCCCTAACACAGGACAGACCTTGGGTGAGTCCCATAGGAGAAGTTCACACGGAGCTCTGGGAGTGTAGAGAGGATGGAAGGTGGGGGGAGACCTGGCTCGGGGAGTGGCAGCTTTGGGCTGAGCCTTGCGGGATAGGTGGACAGGAACGGAAAATGCAGAGGGGTGGGGTCGGGCCTGTCTTCAGGGGTCAAGGCAGGTAAATCTAGGCACCGCACCACTTGTGTGGAGGGGTAAAGACAGAAAGTCAAGGTAAAGCCAGAGCTGGGTTAACACTAGTTTTAAAAGCTTGGCCTTGATTTTGTAAGGAAATGAGGTGCTGGTAAATGCTCCTAAGCAGGGAGCAGATGCTTAGGATTGAGGTGTGTTACCTGAAGCTGGGGAGGGAGGGGATTCATATTGGATACAGTATAGGTAGTCATGTGATTTACTTGACAATAGATCATAGTTCAAGGGAAAGAAAATGTCCTTTCTACAATTTCCTGATTCCCTAAGGTAAAAAAAAAAAAAAAGGCTATTTCCTTGTCCTCAATTTATCAGTAACAAATCCAGCATGTTCCATTTGTTGACAGCTATTTCCCCCATTCCTAGAACAATGTATGGTACATAGTAGCATACGATAAATGCTGTTGAATAATGATTTTGTGGGGAATTATGAGTCACAGTTATGAACCAACTGTCCTTTACACTCTTTGAGAATGACATTGTACTGTATTTAGAAAATTATTTTGCATGATCCTTCCCAAAGTTGATATGATTTTAACTGAAAATGATGCCTTTTTAAGTTGTTTATTTTCAAGTTTTTTTTTAGATTGTTTCTGTTCAAGTTGTTTTGGAAAATGCTAAAAACATTTTATATCAACATTAACTCAACAGAGTTCCCAGCGTTGATTATGAAAATTTTATATGCTTCTGCCACACCTGATCCCTCCAAATGGTTTGTCACTTTGGGTAGTTAGAACAAATGTCAATGGAGTCAGTTTGTATCTGGTTATCTCATGTTTTCTTCTGTGTGGACAGCATCAGCAATTTACCTATCGAGTCAGTAAACCAGTAGTTAGTAGATTGTTTTCTTCCCTGAATGTCTTAACTCACAATGTACTGTAAAATATATCAAAATCACATTGTTTGCCAAGCACCAGGCATGGTAATTCCAGACGAGGTCATTCTGACATATGGAGAGCATTTCTGCTGAATCTCTCTTTCCTCACCAGTTGGCCTGGAATGCCATGGATGCTAGTGGAGGTGAAATTCCACAGTGAATTTGCAGTATTGCTGTTTGCTTTCAGGGATCTAGAGTGGCTTCCTTTTCTCATTGTGTTGAGGGAAAATAGCAAATTACAGATGTTTCTTTTTGCAGGAACTGTAAAGGCACAGTTATTCTGATAATTTCTTAATACAGTGAACTTTAAAGAACTTCCTCTTCTCATTGTCTTCTTAAAAAGGGGAAACATTCTTATGATAAATGAACACAAAAAGGGAGGTGGATTTTTTCCAATAAACGGGGGTATGGTAACGTCCCACAGTAGAACTGTGTTGTTGCTGTACATAGATGTTTTTCTAAAACACTGGCTTTTATTTCCAATATATAATTAAGGCTAATCGCTTCTTTGTTGGTGAAAGCTGTAATTCCATGAGGAATGAAGACAGGATAAATATCACTTAGAGCAACATAAATACTGTTCTGAGCTGACCTCAGAACACATTTTGAGTTTTGTGCTTGGGTTGTATCCTGATGCATATATTGAATTCTTGGCTTATGCTCCCTAGTTTACATATTTTAGATCTTTCAGTTTAAAAAATACATATATATATTTTTCACATCATTAGTAATTACTCTTATTAATAAACTTTTTACTTTGGAATAATTTTAGACTTACAGAAAAACAGCAGTGATAGTACAAAGAGTTTCCATATACCACCCCTCACTAAATTTCCCCTAATGTTAACATCTTACCTAACTGTAACACATTTATCAAAACTAAGAAATCAACATTGGTGCATTACTATTAACTACAGATTTAATTCAGATTTCACTTGTTTTTCCACTATTGTCCTTTTTCTGTTCCAGGATCCAGTCTAGAATCCTACATTGCATTTACTCTCTGGCTTTTTTTTTTTTTTTTTTTTGTAATCAAGTTTTTTAAGAAGGTCATAAACTTATTAAGATTTCATTTGCAAGAGTAACATCTTAAGCATGTGGTGCTTTCCTGATAGGTTGGACTGATGAGTTTCTAAAATGTCTTTGCAGAGATTGCCTTACAGCAAGTTTCCATGTTCTTCCGGTCAGAACCAAAGTGGGAGGTGGTAGAACCATTGAAAGACATAGGTGAGAAACTGGCACATGCCTGGTCTGTTCAAACAGATCACAGAACTGGACTCTTTGTCACGCTTTCCTATCTGTATCCCAAGAAAGCTCTTCAATGCAGGTGATTTCTTTTTCTTTTTGCCTTCCTACTGCTTGAAGACGCAGTCCGTAACTTGTATGCTTAATGAATCTTGGGTAAAGTGCCACCTGGAGATTCAGGGGGTAGTAATGTGTACTCTCAGAGCCATCCGTCATTCTTCATCTCTCTTTCTCACGACACCTCAGCTGAAGTGCCCATTTTCCTGTTCCCGTGAAGAATTTCTTTGTTTGCAGTTGTTTTGGTGTTTTCTGTGGGTTTTTTGTTGGTTTGGGGTTCTGTTTTGTTTTGTTTTGCTTAAGTACAGTCTTTCCCGTGTCAACATTACCAAGTAGTTGTTTTACTGGTGCCTATATTGCTATGGATAAGATTGCTGACCTTAATTTTTTGAATTACTTAGTTAATGAAACTTCTCTCTACTAGTGTAAAAATTATTTGCTATGACTACATCTCTGCTTTTATGGCAGGTTGGAGGATAAGGAAGAAATATTTCTTGATGAAAATTAAAAATCAGCCGAAGGAACGGCTAGTGTTAAGCTGGGTAAGCTGTTTTTTTGCTTCAGTCTCCTTTCATGGACTTGAGATGGGTTTATGAAAGCAGATATTGAAAAAAGATAATTAAGAAATTGTACTGTGCTTCTGGGTGATGTTGTAAAGGCCTCTTCAGTCCCACATCAAAGGAGAGTCATTTTGAGTCACTTTGCTTATTCATTTGGTTATATCCGTGTGATTGTATTTGATCAACTAGTAAACATCTGGAAAGAAACAGGAACAGCTTAAAATAGTTCTGGAACCTCTTTAGGATTGGCAATTTTGCAATTTATTTTAAAGAAGAAATACTTAGGCATTGCTTTATGTTATCTCTCACTTCGGGAGTTCTAGTGATTTGGCTAATGGAATTTGATAAAAAGCATAATTTTGGGGTTTTTTTTCATCGTTTTGTTTTGTTTTTTTTAATTTTAGGTAGTTAACATACAGTGCAATTTGGTTTCTGGAGTAGCATTCAGTGATTCATCACTTATGCACAACACCCAGTGCTCATGATAACAAGTGCCCTCCTTAATACCCATCACCCAAGAGTGTCGTTAAGTCCTGGTATTTATATGTTTTGCATTCTACCTCTCCAGAAAAGCCTTGAGGCAGCAAGACTTTGTGTGGCTTTCGTCTTTGGTTTACAGTCATATATTTGGACAAATGAAAAAAAGCGAAAGGTTTACAAGGAATTTTTCTTTTGATAACTTAAGACAACACCCTGATTTTTTCCCCCATGTTTTCAGGCTGACCTTGGTCCCGACAAGTATCTGTCAGATAAAGATTTTCAGTGTCTAATCAAACTTCTGCCTTCCTGTTTGGTGAGTACAAGCCCTTCTATTCTTTTTCTTTTTTTACTCTTTTATTTTTAAGTCATCTCTACACCCAACATGAGGCTCAAATGAGCACAACCCCGACATCAAGAGTCGCATGCTGTGCTGACTGAGCCAGCCAGGTGCCCCAAGCCCTTCTATTGTTCTAGGTACTGATGACAGATTCAGAGCGTTTTCTTGTAGGTGGCCATGGACAGAAGAGCTGGAAGTGCTCTGTAGGCTCAACAGAATGGAGAGGTACAGTGGATTTCAGTTCACACTGAAATCGCTCAGGGCTACTCCCATAGTTCAGAGGCCATTTGAATGGTATTCATGACATTGGCACAACCCATGAAATTGGTAATTTAAATGCTTACGTGTGTTTTAGGCAAATATCCGAGTAGGAAAGCACCTACTTTGTTCTCGGTGAGGATGTTTCTCTCAGTGGAATTGAAAGATTTGTTTCTAGCCTGAGAAAACAGAACTAATATGGATTTAGATAAGCTGGGTGAGGGAAGGCACGAAGAGCCCTTTTGCTGTCCGAGTCACTATTCTTACAGGCCAACTAGTTGGCCTTTGGGAGTGCCTGGCATTATGTCTGCTAATGTACAGTTCTGATCCAAGGCCTTAGTGGAAAGAACCACATCAGTATATTTCAGAATATGTGCAGAATGTCTTCAGGAAAAGACTAATCTGGCCAGAAAAGTGAGTTCTTTATCTGTGGTCTGCATGAGGATGTAGGACCCTAGAATGAGTCATTCATGAGCACAATTACGCTGACCTATCCAGTTGGGTTGGCAGGTTCATTTTTGAAGATAGAGTGTCTTGTCAAGCTAGCAAAACCAAGCTTTTAATGAGGTGTGCAGCATAGCCAAGAAAAATGCTGTGGTCTTTGTGTGTGATTAGTTGTGTGACACAGACTCTCAGCATTCAATTCCAAATTTCCTTTAATGGCTGTGCTTTTTAAAGAAGAAGGGGGTGCAGATAAGTGGTGCATATTAATTATAGAAAAGTCAGAAAACATGGGTGAGCAAAAATAAGAACATAAAACTCACCTGTAATCCCAAGCAACCAGGAGTATGAACCAAAACGTTTAGTTGTTGCTTTTTTAGAACTTTATATGGTTATTTTTGAAAAATTATACATGTATTGTTTTAAAACCTGATTTTTTGGTTAATGGTATACCATGTACATCTTTATGTTGAATAAATATAGTATAACATCATTATTACTGGGTGCATAGAATTATCTTTACCTCAGTTTATTCAACTTTTACAAGACATTTGGACCACTTCCAGTTTTTTGTTCTTATTTAAAAAGAAAAAAGCCACAGTGAACAATTCAGGCTAAATATTTGTACCCATCCTTAATTATTTCATCAAATAAATAACAAGAATTAATAAGGGAGATATTTTGAGACTGTATAAATATCCTGTTCTTATCAAAGCCCCACTAGTTTTAGCTTCATTGAGATTTTCCAACTCCATCATTCCTCTTATGTTTATCAGTTGGCATTGTCCTGTAAGGAAGAGCTTCCCATTCTCTCCTCTTTGTCTATTTATATCAGTATGGACTCAAGGATTTTTATTTTATTCATTGGGTTCCTTTTTGGGGTGATGAAAGTGTTCTAAAATTAGATTGTGTGGTAGTTTGTACAGCTCTGAATAGACTGAAAACCATTGAATTGTACACGACAAATAGGTGAATTATAATGGTACGTGAACTATATTTCAATAAAGCTGTTAACAATATCAACAGCAATCATTTTGATGGGATGGTCAGAAGAAACTTCATGATCAAGGACTATATTTTCCTGGGCACACCCTTCCATCCCCCAACCTACTCAACCCCTGCCCTCCCAAACCTTTGCACAGCTCAGCTCCTATGGGTTTAAATTCTAATGGTGCTCGTTTGAGCGAATGGACATTGTAATACCTGTCTGAAGCCAGTTGGTTCATGTAACCAAAATTCCAGGTCATACAAGGACTTTCAGTCATTAATTTTGTCTTATTCTCCACCCCCACTTGCTTGACATCAATGGCCTCATCTCAGGAAGACACTGTGAATCATCATACTGCACCGTGCAAAAGAACGACGGGAAGATTCATGCTAGCTGCTTTGGATAAGGGCCAAGATGCCAAAAGATGCTGCTTTTTTGCTTGTTTTCTGGCTTTTACGCTCGCTGGCTTGGCACCAAATAGCACTGTGAAATGTTAGGCAACGCTGTGAATGAAGACACATTTATCCTGGTCCTCACTTGGCTGTGCTAGGGTTTGGCTGTACTCTCTACCAGTGTACAGAGGCAGAATATTAAACCCATTATCCCCCAGACTTCTGCCTGAGCTAGGAGCATGTGCATCCCCAGGCAGATATGGAGAGCTCACCGTGCCACTTCTCCATGTCCCTTTGTCAGTATAGTTTATGTTCCTTCTCTCATCTAAAGAACGACGTGCTAGTTGATCATCTGATAAGAAAATGCCACATGTTCAGGGAACATCCCCACATTTATGTGCAACTAAACTGCTGAGATGGAACTTAACTCTACGTAACCAGATTCTTGATCTCAAAGGACCCAGATGCTGATGCGAATAAATGTGAATGTCTATTTTGTTTTGGCAGCACCCTTATATCTATCGGGTCACCTTTGCCACAGCTAATGAATCCTCTGCATTGCTTATTAGGATGTTTAATGACAAAGGAACTTTGAAGGACCTGATCTACAAGGTACTTGTGGTGCAAGTTCATGGTCATAAAGAAGTTCTCAAGTCCCTTCAGAACCTGTTACAGATACTTGATCCCTAAGGTTCTGGAGGTTAGGCCCTGAAGGTTTTATTTTAAGTTTGATTTGATTTGGAATTTATTTTGATTTTAGCAGTAAAACTACCCAGTCTGGTTAAAGAGCATTCCTTTCCCCAAATGAAATAAGGTTGAACAGGTAATGATTATGTCCATTACATTGTAGGCTGCTCATTTAGGTCAGTTTTAAAGTTTGTGTCTTTCACTTAACAAAGCAATACTGAACTATCTCAGTAAAGTTGGAAAACAAAACTTGGGAGTCTGCTAAGGCTAAGACCAGGCCCAGCTTCACTGGACCAGAGAAGGGATGGAACTCAGGGCAGCCTCTTTCTATCAACTGTACAGATTCTAGTACTTTAAAAACCCACATCCTATGAGCTGACCTCATCTGGCACCCCTAGCTGCTTAGAGTCCTGCCTGGTCCAGGAGGCTACGTGTGGGACTCAGACCCTCTGCTGCTTTCTTACATGCTCTTTGTGCTTTTCTAAAGGCAAAACCAAAAGACCCATTCCTAAAGAAGTACTGCAACCCTAAGAAGATTCAGGGCCTTGAACTCCAGCAAATAAAAACATACGGGCGGCAAATATTAGAGGTAAGGGGTATTTAATATTTGCTTAGGTTGCATTGGAATTTCATCCAGATTACAGCATTCTTTTGGGAAAGTTCTTAGGCAATATTCAAAATAGTTTAAGTTGTCTGATTGCTTATAAACTGATAGCATTGTCCTATTTTATCCCAAAAAACAAATACTTGAGACTAAGGCAGCCAATTCAGATCTACAGAATTCCAAAATCTTAGCTATTGGCATTTAGGGTCTGATTTTTAAGAACTTCACGGTGCAGATACCAACTTTTATATTATATTTGGTTGATCTTTATCTTTGTGCCAAGATTGTTGATTTTCTTTTATCAGTACATAACCATATGGCTCCCTTGCAGAAGTGTAACTAGCATGAAAAGCCTTTCCCGTATCACTCTCTAGAGCAGTGTTCTCCAGGCTTCTTGGATTGTGTGACCCTATCAGTGAAAACAATTTAAACAAAACTCCCCCCAATATTACACATATATAACTATTATATGCATGCACCACTACTAATATATGTTGTATATTATAAGTTAAGTTAGGAAAGAAGGAGTTTTTTTTTTCAAGTAGGCTCCACGCCCAGTGCGGAGCCCAACACAGGGCTTGAACTCATGACCCTGAGATCAAGACCTGAGCTAAAATCAAGAGCTAGACAGTTAACTGACTGAGCCATCCAGGCACCCCGGAAAGAAGGAGATTAAAAACAAACAAATAGAAAGAGAAGTTGTCATATTTTCTTCCAGTCCTCAGTAGATTGTTCTGGGCACCCCTTTTGGCTAGCACTGCTCTAGTTCATGAGGTCATTATGGGTGTATCTCCAGGCATCTCTCTTTTTTTTTTTTTTAAAGATTTTATTTATTTATTTGAGAGAGAGAATGAGAGAGAGAGCGCGCACGAGAGGGGGGAGCAGGAGAGGGAGAAGCAGACTCCCCGCTGAGCAGGGAGCCTGATGGGGGACTCGATCCCGGGACTCCAGGATCATGACCGGAGCTGAAGGCAGTCGCTCAACTAACTGAGCCACCCAGGCGCCCTCCAGGCATCTCTCTTGCTGGGTGAGCCACTGTTTATGAAATGGCAGCTGAAAAGTTTGCTTCTTTCTGTAGGAGCCTGTCATGTGTCCTATTAATAAATAGCGTAATATATTCTGAGAAGAGGTTGGCCTAGGGATGTTTTTAGCTCAACCCCTTTTCCTGGACAACTGGCCGATGCCCTGACATGATAGCTTTACTCATCTGTGTGGGAGGGTCAAGACTTTGGCCCGAAAGCTGCGGGCCTGTTGAGATCAGAAAGTGCTTGAAGTCAAGCTTTCTGGCATCAAAGCTGTTAACCCCAAGCGGATTCAGGCTGCTCCTCTGTTCTTTGGAAATGAGGGAGCTTGGCCTTGCATCTCACAGCTGGAAAGCATTCAGCATCACCCCCTTTTCCAAAGAAATGGATGGAGGTGGCATTTGTCTTTAGGAATCTCCTCAGTGACCTGTTTGGTTTTGTTTCAAAATACATTGACTTAAAAACAAAGTTCAGCCTATCTCATAGCTGAATGAGTTGGGGGGAAAATGTAACCTATGTGTATTTTTTAATAGGTACTAAAGTTTCTACATGACAAGGGATTCCCTTATGGGCATCTTCATGCTTCCAATGTGATGCTAGATGGTGACACTTGCCGGCTGCTAGACCTTGAGAATTCCTTATTGGGCCTTCCTTCCTTCTACCGATCCTATTTCTCACAATTCAGGAAAATCAACGTAAGTTGCTAGAAGTAACAAAAACAGCAATTTCATTTTTAGGTATAAATGTTCTCCATGGCAGGACCCATGACCTGCCCGTGTAAGAAATATGCACCAGGCGGTGAAAGGTACAGGCAGGGTAGGCCATGCCTGTTGGCTGTGTTCTCTCACAGAGCATCACTCTATCTTTAAGAGCCTCGTTGAAATGGTAGACAGGACGATGAGGGACATAGAATCACTGACTGGAAAACAGTGGAGAGTAGAACCAAGACCTTGGGTCAGAGCAATGCCTTTGGAGCTTTTGCACAAGGCCTTAGAGTTGTGTTTTCACTACCAATTATGAGTGAGGTTGCCCCTGGGCCATGTTTCTCTCAGTGGAAGCCTAGGGAAGGAGCATTGGGATTCACAAAGCCAAACTGAAGGATAACCATGCTGCTGCTCTCTTGTCTTCCACAGACATTGGAGAGCATGGACGTCCACAGCTTTGGCCACTTACTGTATGAAATGACTTACGGACGACCGCCAGACTCAGTGCCTGTAGATTCCTTCCCTCCAGCACCGTCTATGGCTGTGGGTCAGTATGGGGTTTGGAGGAGTCTTCTGAGCCCTGGTAGTCTGCAGAGCTACTCACCCCCTTTCCAGAGTCCAGGAAGGACCCAGAGGAAGTTGCCATGCTCCATAGCCAGCCAAATCCCATTTAAAAGTAAACCAGGTCTGAGTGATTTATTTAAATTCACTTCACTAAAAATTCAGATGGCTTGTCCATTTGTCAGGCTATCTGAAACCTCAGGAGACATATTGTAACTGTGTTCGAATTTTGGAAGCAGGAGGTTGTAGAGCAGTCTGGCCAGACCAAGTCTGATATAGAAGCAGAAGCTAGGAGCAGGCAAATTGAAGCCAGCCTTTCAATACGGACAGGTGTCAAGGGCCAGACCAAGGCTGGAGTGGGACCTGCAAGGAACAAGAGAGCCACGGGCCGGACATCTGGTAGATAAAAGGTTGGCAGGCCGAGAGCGGGGAAAGGTCGGCGGGAATACAGACGCCTGGCAAATTGGATCCAGGCATTCCTCCAGCCTTGCTTAGGGGACCGAGGAGGGCCAGAGGACAGGCGGGAGACACCCTTGGGAGAGAGATGTGGGGACTGATGCAGACTCATCCGGGGACCCTTTCATCCTGTCCACAGCCAGCTTAAAACTCACTGCTAGAGCACTAAGAGGGGAGGGCAGGGTAGCTCTTGGACCACCGAGCCTTCGAGGTGGGCAAGCTAACCCTCCGCCAAGTGCTGGTTTTGTGTCCAATGAGGTGCTTCAAGAGCACAGGCCCTGAGACCACTTTGTGTCGAGTTCGAACGGCTGAAACCGAACAGTGACCTGTGAGAAGAAAAATCCGGCTGCTTTGGTTTATATCATCCAGGGTGTTGGATGATGAGATAGCAACAACTGGCATCTCGTGTGCTGGTTCTGATTAAAAAGCAAGCAAGCAGCAAAACGTCTTTCGAGTTCAGAATTTTCTGCGTAGTGTTTACTTCTCCTCTAAGGGAGCAAACACTTTCATGAATGATATCTGGAATCCTTCCTCCAGTTCTCTTTGAAATATGTTTAGCTTTCTGTCGGCATGTGGTTTCTGCACCATTTATTCTGAGTCATCGGTAACATGGTATGGCCAGCATTCCCCTTCCCGACGTATGCCATCTGTCTGTGCGGGAAGAGTTTTGACACCGTCCTGATCAGTCTGCAGACAGTTGTTGCAAAGTGGTGTCAGACTTTTCGTCACCAAGTGGATTTGCCAGCATGTTCTGTGGAACTAAAATGTGTATCTGTTCATTTCAAGTGGCCGTGTTGGAGTCTACGCTGTCTTGTGAAGCCTGTAAAAATGGCATGCCTACCGTCTCCCGGCTCTTACAGATGCCGTAAGTCAATCACACGCCTTGGTTGTCACCTTCCTAACTGTGTAGAACGCTGGACCGCTAAGCCAGGTGCCTGGCGCCGTGGTCAAGACTCAGGTGTGGTCCTTGCAGAGTCGAAGTGACGTGCTTGCTCTCAGTCACGTGCAGCATGATATCATGACCTCTCCACTACTGTGGTCTGATTGCTCTCCCTTCATGTCCGCATCTTCACACGTGTCTCTTGCTGTCGATGGTAGTTAGCGTCCTGTGCATGTACACGTGCCCCCCGCCCCTGCTTAGGACATTCTGATGGAGGGCCTGCTCGTGCGCTGTCCGTGGTCCTGTTTCCTCACACCAGCTGGCCCTCAGCCGTGGCTGGTTCTGCCCTCTCAGAGGAGAGCAGCGTGTTTCTGACCCGCAGTGCACTCGTTTGTTCCTTTGCTCTCTGGGTAACATCGATCACACATCTAACAGGTACCAGGCATTGTGCAAGGGGCTTGGAGCGCAGAAGACAGTCTCCCTTAAACCGGGTTATGACTAGTTCATCAGGACCATGGAAATAGTGCTGCAGGGCCTTGCCTCCAGCTATGTTCTCTGTCCCTTCTTGGAGAGGGCAGCAGCGTGGTTAAGAAGGGTGGGTCTGAGGTTAGACAGCCTGGGGGTGGACCCAGCCTCATCACTTCGACCTGGGTGACCTTGGGCAGGTTTCCTGCATCTGGAAGCGGAGGCTCCTTATCTGGGAAACTTATCTGGGAAACGGGGATGGGAATAGGCCCCACCGGAGAGGGTTGTGGGCAGGATTGAATGAGACGATTCCTGGTGAAGCGCCAGGTACTTAACAAGTGCCTATCGAGTGTTACTTGTGATGAGTATTGATTCAGCCTATATTTTGTGAGCATCACGTGCCATGCAGCGCACCCAGTGCGTTGTCTCTTCCAGCTTGTTGTATAACAGATGTACTCAGGAAACAGTGATGTGGGGACACAGGGCAGGGCTTAGCTTGAATGCATACCGCCAGAGCTCAGCGGAGGTCCCTGTGTTTAGAGAGGGTCTGCTGTAGCCCAGGCACTGTCCTAGGCCCTGTGGAAGCTGTGCCGAGCCACCCCAGCCCCCGCCCCAGCCCCTGCCCGTGGATGTGACATATTTAAAGTTCGACTGACACTAGCGCGTCCCTGTCCCAAGCAGCCACCATTAACAACAGGGTGAATATGGAAAAATAGACCCAATTAGGGAAATGAAATAATTTTCATACAAACTTTTAAAACAGCATGCATTTGTAGTTAGGGAACAGCCTGGATTCATGTTAATTTACTTGGGTTTGCATTTGCAGCCCCCACGTTCCAGAGCTCTTCCATTCTCCTCCCAGCCTTCCAAGTCTAAAGGGAATCCACATTGTTTTTTCCTCACTGAGGTCTTTCTACCCTGTGGCCTTCAGCCTTGAGAAGAATACTTGAAGAGGCGTGAACTATGTTCAGTTAAAACACGTTTTCTGGAAGTAAATAGGCCTGTGCCCTTGACAGGGAGAGTTCTGTTTCCACCTCCAGAGCCGCCCAGGGAACACTGTGGGGAAAAGTTAACTGTGTCATTTCTACTTGTGAAGTATTTCCTGTTTTTTAAAAAGGGGGACTCCTCAAGGCAAGACTCCCACATAGCCATATGGGCACTGCCCAAGCAACCATTTAAATTCTCCAAACTGTCTTAGCCAAAGTAGTTCAGAATTCCTCATGCTGTTGTTTTTAGTCACATAATTTTTGAAGAGAGAATTGACATACTCTAAAAGCTGCCTTTTTTTTTAAGGGAATACAAGAAACACTTCTTAGAAAAAAATTATTTTCTTGTTAGATTCCAATCAGAACAGTTTCTTTCTACTTACACATTTTTATTTTACTGAGCTCTAGAAAAAATATTTTAAAGATTTATTTATTTATTTTAGAGAGAGAGTGAGAGCAGGGGGAGGGGCAGAGGGCGAAGGAGAGAGAAAGAATCTTAAGCAGACTCCGCACTGAGCGCAGAGCCCAATACAAGGCTTAATCTCACCACCCTGAGATTATGAGCTGAGCTGAAACCAAGAGTCAGACACTTAATTGACTGCGCCACCCCTAGAATAAATTTTATCCTCTTCTGGGATTTAATAAAAAAGGGGGGGATATTGGTTATTCTGTTTAGAAATACCTACTGCATAAATTATTTGCAGTTTAATAAATATAACTATAATAAAATAATAATTTGCAAAACTAATTTTTTAAAGTGTGTATTACTTTACTATATAGCATGAGAGGACTGTTGCCCTGCAGTGTGGGGAAATAACCTTCAGTACAGGGTTGACCCAGTCTCTCCCTGGTAGCACCTCTGATACTGGGGGGCAGGGGGGAGGTGCTGAGGTTTTTCTGCAGTCACATCGGGTGGCCTGTAAACTTGGAGTTTGTCGATAAGCATGAAATGGTGGACTGGGCCAGGGCTGGGGCATGTGGGAACCTCACGGGCTAAAGATGTCTCATTTTGTTTTGATCCTGTTCTGAGAGGACACCTGGCTTAAGAAAGATTTTGTTTGTTTCTTTTCTTAACAGATTATTCAGTGATGTTTTACTAACCACTTCTGAAAAGCCACAGTTTAAGGTAAAGCAAATCATATCTTTTTTTGGTTTGTGACATATATAAGTTGATTTTGAAACTTAGTGCTTTTAAAAAAATGACTGAAGTAGAACTGACATACATACAACATTATATTAGTTTCAGGTGTAAAGCAACATTATAACTATAATGTGGTAATCACCACAGTAAGTCTAGTTAACGTCTATCACTATATATGGTTCTAATTCTTTTCTTCCTGTGGTGAGAACTTTTAAGATTTACTTTCTTAGCAACTTTTAAGATTTACTTTCTTAGCAACTTTCAAGTATACAATACAGTATATTAATAATAGTCACCATGCTGTACATTATATGCCTATGACTTATTATTTTGGAACTGGAAGTTTGTACCTTTTGCCCCCTTCACCTGTTTCATCTGTCCCCTCACCCCGACCCTTGCAAACCACCATTCTGTTCTGTTCTGTTCTCTGTGAGCAATCTGTTCTGTATGAGTTCAGGTTTTGTTTTGTTTTTAGATCCCACATGTAAATGAGATCATATGGTATTTGTCTTTCTCTCTCTGTCTTATTTCACTTAGCATAATGCCCCTAAGCTCCATTCATGTTGTTGCAAATGGAAGGATTTCCTTTTTTTTAAGAGGCTGAGTAATATTCCATCATATATACCCACATTTTCTTTATCCATTCATCCATTGATAGACACTTAGGTTGTTTCCATGTCTTGGTGTAAATAATGCTGCAGTGAACATGGGAGTGCCTATCTTTTTGATTTAGTGTTTTCATTTCCTTTAGATACATACCCAGAAGTGGAATTCTGGATCATATGGTATTTTTAATTTTTTGAGGAACCTCCATACTATTTTCCCAATTTACATTCCACCGATAGTGTAAAGGTTTTTTTCTCCACATCCTCGCCAACAGTTGTTATGTTGTCCTTCTGATACTAGCCATTGTAGCAGATGTTAGGCGATATCTCTTGTGGTTTTGATTTGCATTTCCATGGTTAGTGATGTTGAGCTCCTTCTCATTACTTGTTGGCCATCTGTGTGTCAAGTTAGTGCTTTTTTTAATCAAACAAGAGAAGGTACAATAATTTTTTTATTGACGTAGAGTTAACATACAATATCCTCTTAGTTTGCATACATCAAAGTAATTTGATATTTTTTATACATTATGAAATGATCCCCACAATAAGTCTAGTCACCATCTATCATCACACAAAGTCGTTAAAATATTGACTGTATTCTCTATGCTGCAATGAACATGGCTTATTTATTTTATAACTGGAAGTTTAGGTACAGTGTTTATAGTAGCAAAAATTTGAAAACAATCTAAATGTTCTACAATTAGGGACTAGCTTAATAATTTATGGTACATCTGTTTGATAAAATGTTTTTTATCTAATAAAAGTAAAATTTATAAAGACATTGTAGTAGCATGGAAAGCGATTATTTGGGCTAAGGGGAAGAAGAAGCAGGATATAAAATACAATGTGTAAAAATGTATTCACCTGTATCTAGCAGAAAGGCAGGAAGGAAGCATCCTGGTAAGTAGCAGCATTGTGTGGTATCATGGGAAGTACAGGAGCTTTGGAACCCAAAAAACCCAGGATGATGCCTTACTTTGCTTTTTTAATACCAGCCATTTATCTACGGCTGCTTTCTCAGACAAAACATTTTTTTTTATAAGGATTTTATTTATTTACTTGTCAGAGCAAGAGAGAGAGAGAGAGCATGAGCAGGGGGGAGTGGCAGGCAGAGGGAGAGGGAGAAGCAGACTCCCCGCTGAGCAGGGAGCCCGACGCAGGGCTCGATCCCAGGACCCCAGGATCATGACCTGAGCCAAAGGCAGACACTTAACTGACTGAACTACCCAGGCGCCCCATCAGACATGACAGTTGACATTTTGGATCAGATGGCTGTTTGTTGTGGGGACTGTCCTGTGCATTGTCGGAGGTTAAGCGACATCCCTGGCCTGTCCCCTCTAGATGTGAGCAGTGCTTCCCTTCTGCCCCACACATTGTGACGATAAAAAATGTCTCCCCAAATTGCCAAATGTCCCCTAGAGAGAGAAGGGGGCAAAACCACCGCTATCTGAGATCCACTCATCTATGGGCCTGATCTTTGAGTTGCTGTTTACTCAGTATGTACAATTGGTGAGTAACGCCTGTTTATTGTCCTTGATCAACTGAGATGGTCCACATGAGCACCTGGGGGCAGGGGTGGCTCTCCTCAGGGCTCGCAGTTAGTTTTGGTCTGGGCAGTAGAATGAAGGGTGATTCTTCCTCCTCTCCATATTCCAAAGGAACATGTAATACTATTATGATGAAATCCCTTTTAGGAAAAACAAAAACAAGGTGGGGTCAGAAGATTGTACAGGAGAGGAAGACATTTTCCTCTGTCCTGTTTTGCCAGTCAGAGGAGTTCTTTTTTTTTTTTTTTT